CTTTTGGGCCTCGGGTAGCAGCAGACGGAGTAGTTGTTATTTCCACCGCAGCATCCACAGCCTCCGTTGGGCATGTTGTTGGTAGTAGGGTAGGCAAAGCTGGAAGGAACAGAGAGAGTCTGTCTCTGACTTGGAGGAGGATATTTGGAAATACAGAATTAATTCAAAGCTCAGTTTACACTAAGTTCGTAGTTTCAAGGAGCTGAAACGAAGTGCTGTCTTGTTTATAGCAAATCTTACTCGTAACTCTTCTTTCTGTCTTTTTTCTGCAAAGTAGATGCCTACCTACTCGTACCAGGGCATCCCTAATGTCCTAGCAAGAATCACACAGCACGGTGCACATAGTCCTTGGTCTGGGCCCTCCTGAAACATTCTTGGTCCCCTTGCTCTGCATGGCCCTGCGGATACTCCTCTAGCCTCTCCATCCTTTAGCGCTTCTAGCTCGTCCCCATAATTCCCAGTACACAGTTCATAAAAGCCCAACTTCAACCAAAGTCCCAGTCCAGATACCCAGTCATATTTGGATACTGATATAAGATACCCATAGTATTTCTCTTTTGTGAAAAGGAAGGAAGATTTGGATGTTCTCACTTACCCTGTTGACGAGTGAGGAAAGGTGAAGTGAAGCGAAGATGAGCGAATGAAGTGAGCTGGGCCAGGAGACCTTTTATAGTCCTAGACACCTTGCTCCTGGAAATGAGACAGCCGTTGACCATTTGAACTACTAACCCAAACCCATACTTTTTAGCTATACGTGTCTTCTGGTATTTACTCTTTGCCTTATTATTTGTGTTAACTACCTTTGTTTTACCTCATAATTGTATAGCCTGCAGATAATCAAAGGGCTTCTATGAATACTAATGAATTTGTCCTCTCTGCAGCCTTGCAAGGGAGCCAAAAAATGCATCCTCCTATCTGTTTGACAAACGTGGACAGTGACGGCCAAAGATGCTAAGGGACTTACTCAGCAGCGGCTGATGCCGAATCAGTGTAAGAGCCGAAACTGAACCCCCGGGTTGTGTCTTTCAGGCACGTGATGGGCTGCTTCATTGGACGAGTGTTTGAAACAAATATTTGGACAATTTCATGAAAATAGGTATGTTTGTTCCCCGTCACAGGACATGCATGTGAGGAGGGAGCAAGAAGACCATGTGTTTGGGATGTGTCAGGAGTCATGCTGGCCTCTGGCTCTCAGTCACCTGCACGTGACTCCACGCAAGACCATCTTGCCCTCACGCATGCTAAGAGCATCTTCGCGATGCCAAAGCCGTCTTTGTCTTCTGACTTGCCCAAACTTTTCCAAATCCTTCAACCTGGGAGGTTTCAGTTTGCGTGAGGGCATCACTAACACAAGAGTGCTTCAGTTTCTACTCTGCTTGGCTGGGACTGCTTTCCTAGAAACATTTTCAAAAACTGTGAACTGAATATTCACTTCAGAATATTTTGCATTTTAATTAAGATGTTAAGGGGCAGCACTGCCTGAGCGAGCAGCAACGCAAGGACCCATGGCTTTGGGATTGGGTATGATGCATTGTAAGTCAACGTGTCCCTCTTGCAACTTCCCCTTGCATCCAGCTGAAATTCCCTTGTGTGCTGGAGCCCTGGCACCAAGAAGGACCACCCCTGCCCAGCTCCTCAGCAGGGAGGGAGGTTTAGAGTTGGAGGTTGTGCATGACTCTTTGTGGGTGTTGGAAGTGGTAAATGAAGGAGCCTAGCATGAACCGAGAGGGTGAGAGGAAGATGAAGGTGGAAAAGATGTGACAAGCACAGAAAAGTAGTTATGGAGCTAAGTGGAAGGCAGGGACTCAGAAGTGGTGCAGGAAGAGATGTTGTTGAGGTGGAACCATTTTCTGGGAGGAAGGGAGGAAGGTCAAGGTAAGGCAGAGCCTTGGGCAAGTGAGCCAGGGTGGACGAATGCTTGTTTAATGCCAGCCACTGTCTCCAGTGCACTTTGCTGTGGGGCTGAATGCTGGCAGGAACACAGGGTATTTGGGAGGAATTTTTATCACGGCCTAAAATTACATCTCTCATTTGAAGACCTTGCCACATTATCCTGAGAGGAGTGCTGCCTAATGAGAGGATGGTAGAGCCTGCCTGGCGAGTTCCCTGCCTGCTGCCTGACATCCTCCGGGATCCCTGGGGTGCTCCGAAGAGGGGTCCTCCGAGGTGAGCTGCTACCAGCCCTGAGGATGCTAGCAGGGGCCTTGGTTTGCTTTCTGCACGGTGCAAGGGGGAGCAGATTGCAATCTTAGTGCTGCTTCACCCCTGCAATAAATGCAACCAGCTCCTTTCCAGGCTGTCCTGGTTTGGCTGAAACAGAACTATTTCTGCTTTCAGCAGATTTTTTTCCCTTCAGTTAAGTTTTTTAGTAACTGCCCTGTCTGGAGCTGACTGCAGGTCTCAGGCAGTGCCTGCTGTCAGAGCTGATGGCAGTTCATGTCTGTAGGTGTTGCTGGGGCAGGAGCGGGATTGTTATGCAGAAAGGCCCACGGGTGGGTGCTTGTTCCCTGCGGGCTCTCCCAGGCTCCGCTGGGCTCCTCGTGGGGGGAAGGCGGAGGAGGGGTCGCACCCCCGGGAAGCTGCAGAGGGGGCAGGTGACCCAGGACCGACCAATGCCGTGTTCCATCCCACCCACGGGATTACTCGGAATAAAGCTCTGGGATCACGGGGG